TTTTTTAAATATGGCATTTGTCACTTATTGAAGATTTCTATGTGGGAAGAAAGGAGGGGACCAGCCAGTCAGAGACTAGAGGCTAGAATATCTCAATTATCGACATCAATTTTTATGGACACAGAATTTGTGTCAAATTCCTGCCTTCCCCCTACCATATGCGATTAGTTCTCGAATTGCTTTGGGATTCAAACAATGGAGAGGGCCTTGGATTCACAACTAAACAAACTTCAAAGGCTACCACATTTGAGAACACCTTCAAATATACATTTTATTTATTTATTTATTTTTAAGCATTCCCATGCCAGCAGTACATATTTATTATTATACATGAATGGTCCAAAGACTTACATAGATGAAATAGCACTTAGTGACATGGAGTGGAAATTACAATTTTATATATATTTAAAAAATACATACACACACACACACACACATTCCCCTCCTCTCTCCACGGCTCACCATACATTGCTATAAAATTGGGAGGCATGAAGCTGGAGGAGTTCCAATATACATAACTCACTGAACTATCTCAAGCATAAAAACTGAACTGACGCTGCAAAAATAAAGTTTCTTTCCTCAAATATTTTGATCTGAGTTCAAGCAAAGCAGATAATGAACACAAAGATTTTCATCCTATTCAATACACTTTAAAACGTAATAGATTCAACAGTTGTGAAGTCCAGCAAAGGTAGAGGTTGTTGGAATGAATAATGCATTTCATCCAAAAAAGAAAAAAAAAAAAAAGGTCTACAGCAGATCAGTTTTGTCCTGGCTCTCAAATATTTAAGAATCATAATTTACTACACTCAAACAGTAAGTTAAGCCAGAACAAACAAATGATAAACAGAAATCATTACTTCAAACAAGGCATTATTTATTGCCCTTGGTTTCTTTAGACAAAAATTTCACTAGTGCAAGAGCATCATTTACCTGAAAGCTCAGGAGTCACAATTAAAGAGCACTCGTACAAAACTATTTCCTTTTTTTCTGTAAAAAGTGCCACATACTATACAAATGAACAAACAAAAGCCACGCATGGACTAATGAAAAGCCGTTTGTCTCCATCTCTTGTCATTGAGGAAAGGCCAGAGTGATTCTTTGATTCCAATTCGAAATGGAGTCCGCTGGCCAATGCCCAAGGTCTCTAACTTGGAGCAGTCGAGCTGAGCGTTTCTTGGACGCTGTGCTCCCAAGACAGGACTGTCAGTTATAGGTCTTAAGTGACTGCTGGAGAGGTTGAAGGCATCCTCAATTGCACAAGCCATTTCATATTTGGTCATCTGTTCATTGCCAGACCAGTGAAAGGTTCCCTTAATCGATGGATCCACCATTCTCTTCTCCGCTAACTGGCGACACTGTGGCTACGTCTTTGATATGCTTGGGGAACCTCTGCTGCCAGTGGTCCACGTTTGCGGACTTGTTGCTAAACTGCGCTTTATCAAACATAACAGTCACAGCACTTTCCTCAAGCTTTTCAACTTCTCCATATAGAATTGGAATCCTCAAAACAGCAGCTCCTAAATTGTTCTGTAGGACAGACTTTTCTCCTTCTAATTTTGTTTTACCATACAGATTTAGGGGACATAGGATGTCTTCCTCTCTGTAAGGTGGATGTGTTCCATCAACTACATAATCTGAGCTAATATAGATTAGAAATGCTCCCATTGCAGCTGCTTCCTTTGCTAAATTCCCAGAAGCATCCACATTAAGTTGAGAGCAGCATCTGGCTGATTTTCTACAACATCTGGCCTTCTTTCTGCTGCACAATGTACTATAACGTGGGGCTGAAAATCATGAATGATGTGATGAACTGCAACAGCATCCAACAAATTCACCTGTTCAAATTTCGGTCTCACTCTTCTAAAACCACAGCCAACAAAATGCTTTCTCCTGAAACTCTTTGTACACAGCTCTGCCAAGCAGCCCGCTGGCACCAGTATTCAGAACCCGCCTACTGGGGATGTTAACTTCCTCCTCCACCAGCAGGCAGTCCCCAGGAGTGAAGTGGATGGACGGCTCCCTCTCGAGTCCCACCATGCCCGCCATCTTGTAGCCGTCGCCACGGTGGCCACCACCTCCTCTGGCCCAAGACCGCTTGGGCCCAAATATACATTTTAAAAGCAAAGAATGTCACAATAGTCACTCCAAATAATGGGAACGACAAAGGGCTCATAATGGTTGTAGAAGGCAATAAAACATTAATTTTGTTGTTATAAGCTGAGCTTTTAACTCCTAAAATACATAATAGAGTTCTATAAAGAGCAGAGTTCTTTAGTACATGGATTTCTTTCTTTATACTGTTCTATTTTGTGACATATTTCATAAACATTAAAATTGGTGACAGTGTGCATCCTTGCTGTGTTCTTGATCGTAAAAGGGAAATTTTTCCAGTTTTCAAGTTAGGTATTTTATTGGTTAGGTCTATGATAGATGACCTTTATTATGTTGACACATGTTCCTTCTTTTGTCATGTTGTTTAAAATATTTGTCTTAAATGAAAATATCGGGTGGTTTCACTTATAGGAGGAATATAGGGGAACCAAACAAGGGATCAGGAAAACAACAACAACAACAACAAAAAAACAAAAACAGAATTATCCAGCAAACTATAAACTGTGTAAAAATTGGAGACATTCAGCAGGGGAGGAGGAAAGAGGAGGGTCAAAATAGGGGAGGGAAGAGCACAGGAGACCATGGTGACTGTTTACTGGTGACTTGGTGGTGGGAATTTAATGGGGATAATACCTGAGAGGAGAATTCAAACACCGTACAAAAATGAACAATGATGTAAATATATATATATATAAACTATATTTATCTTAAATGAATGTTCTTATCAAAAACTTTCTCTGCATCTATAGACATTGTTATATGATTTTAATCTTTTGCTGATGTGATATATTGAATCATTCTTACATCCCTAAGAAAAATCCCACCTGAGATAAATTCCTAATGATGTGCAATCCTTGTAATGCACTGTGGAATTCTGTTTGTGTACACCTTATTCGTTGTGTACTGTCTTTAATTTGCTCTCTCCATGCCCTCTCCCTTTTGTATAAACTCAATTCTTTTTTTTTTAGGATTTATTTATGTGTACAAGAACTGAGGTACAGTCCAGAGGTGTGTGGGGGGTGAGAGGATTCACCAGAGACAGAGTGGGGAACAGAACAGGCAGACTGACTGAAACACACTGCTCGGGAGCAGCAGGTGAGACAGGAGAGGTCTGCTGCACCATGTGGGTAGCTTCCTGGCCGGGGATTGAACTGGTGCTACAGTGGCTGCGGATAGTTTCATAGGTTGCTTCTTAACCCCTTGTGCCACCAGGGAGGCCCTAAACTCAATTCTACAGACAGACTTCTAGGGTTTGTTTTTGCTTTTTTTTTGACACTTTTTTTTTTGTCTCTACATTCCACGTATGTGACACCATTAAGTATTTGTCTTTCTCCTTCTGACTTATTTGAGCATAACCCCTACAGTTCTATCCATTTTGTCACAAATGTTGAGTTCATCTTTCTTTTTATAGCTCCGTTGTCTGTCTATATACCACATCTTCCTAATCCTCTCATCAGTACTTGGGCACTTAGCTTGTTTCCATTACTTGGCTATTGTAAGTCAGGCTTCAGTGAACACATTATATATATGTTGCTTTGAATTATTATTTTGCATTCTTTGGGCAGACATCTAGGAGTGAAACTGCTGGATCATATGGTAGTTCTATTTGTTTTCAATATTCCTTGCAGCTTTGTCTCACTTATGATTACAATTATTTTGTAGAAAAATGTTTAAACTCCTTTCTTATTTCTCTTGTGTATATTCCATAGCTGTTTTTTTTTTTTGGGGGGGGGGCGTTAACCTGGGGATTAAATTAAAATTTTTTTTAAAGATTTATTTATTTATACAAGAACTGGGGTACAGGCCAGATGTGCAGGAAGGTGAGAGGATTCACCAGAGACAGAGCAGCACAGGACTGACTGAAATACACTGCTGAGGGGAGCAGCGGGCGAGACAGGAGAGGTCTGCTGCACCAAGTGGGATTCTCGCCAGCCGGGCAGGTGGGATCGAACTGGCGCTGCAGAGGCTGCGGACGGCTTCACAGCGCTGCGCTCAACCACCTGCGCCACCAGGGGAGGCCCCTAAGTTTAAATTTTTATGTGATAACACTCTGATTTGAATTTATACCAACTTAAGTAACTTATAAAAATTTGGCTCCTTGAGCCCTCTCTGCTCACCTTTCAGTTGTTGATGTCACAAAATTACTTCTTTATACATTTTGTGCCCCAAAATATAAAATATAAACTAATAATTCCTTTAAATGCATTGGTTTCTTAAGTACAAAATAAGATTTGGTGTTACAAATCAAAGTTACAATAATACTAGCTTCCCTGGTAGTCTGCCCTGGTAGAGCAAAATTTGTGGTCACTGCTTTCGTCGTGATCCACAACATAATAGTAAGGAAATGGGGAACCTCTTACCAGGCCTCAGACCACATCTTCTGCTAGGACTGCCTAGTTGGTTTCTTATTCAAGAAGTCTTAGAAATGTTTTCTTTAACCTGTACGGTGAAAAACCATACAGCTTTAGGGTTAAACTTGCCTTCTTCAAGTTCAGCCAGTCTTTTCCAGATTTTAAGTTCTGTATGTTACAGCATTGACTACTTCTAGTGGATGAATGGCATGATTATCTATATATATTCATTATGTAACCTCGAGTCTCATTGCTCCTGGGTTTTTAAAGAATGTATTAATAGTATAATGTAGCAGGAAGCACATAAGTTTTGGAAATAGGTAGCTCTGGTTCAAATCACATCATTCACTTGTATAACACCTTGGATATTATACAAAATGCTTAACCCGAATCAACTTCCCTATATTGAGTAAAACCTGATTTATAAGGTTGCTGTGAAGATTTAAACAACACATGTAAAACACACAGTGTAGAACTTTAAGAGGTGGTAGCTGTTAATATGGCATCTGTTAGAGTGAGCTCTATAATCTCATGTATGAAATACAAAGCAAACAAGTAGCACTGGTAACAACACATTTATTTATGTACCCTGTTGTGTGACCGGGAGGTGCTTTTTCACTTTCAAATAATTTAACAATTAAAATTCCAAAAGGTAAGCTAGTTATTTATTGTTGCTCATGAGCATAAGTAAACAGACATGATACCACATAAAGGAATTAAACATATCTAAACTTTTGGTATAGCTTTGATTGTGGACCAGTATACTTTGGCAATGGACCTAATAAATTACCAGTATGCTTCAAAATAACATGGCTCTCTTCAGACAAAACAGGAAACACTTGAAAGTAACTTTTGAATTTCAAAAATAAAGATTCATAGGAAGCTGGAAAAGGCCAACATTACCTAAGCCTATAGTATTTATCATGAATACAAATTTTATGCTATTAAAAATAAAATGGTAGGCAGCAGTCAACAAATTGCTCATTTCATTTTGCAGACTAGTTTTTTAAATTCATCTCAGATGATAGGCAGTATTTATTTTCAAGTAGTTTTTACTAACTTTTTGTGCGCAAGTTAAGGGAATTCAGATTGATCCCAATTATATGGTATGTAAAATTGGATTTTGTATTAGAAATCACCATTTCCAAGACACTGCATCACATGGGATGTTTCCTTTCAGAATGCCTTATTATTCCTGGCTTCAAATCTTACTTATAGCATGTTATTTTTAGAGGATTTGATAACAAATGTGTACTCTTTGCAGGATTAGGATATAGGAATGTGCTGGTCACCAAGGATGAATTTTATATTACACTGAAACTATATACTGTTGGAAATAGACAAGATAGGGAGTTCCTAGATCCTAGAAAATATTATGGCTAAGGAAATAGGGAACTCAAAAAAGAAATCCACCTCCTAGAAACTAATTTCGTATAGTAAAATAGAATTAAGTGCCCTGTCTTAGGAAAAAGTTTATTAAAGAACTGGGACATCAAACATCATTTCTTTGGAGATTAAAGTGCAGGCTATGAAATGGCATATAAAATAATGCATAAAATAGTGCAATAAGGTGTCTTTTTTTTATTACACATAGCCTTATGTTCACATGTCCCTTTTTCTCTCAAAATTCCAGCTGTAGTGACACCTTTAGCTTATTTAAGCATTAAACTCTTTTTACTCACCTTTGGGGCTACATAGAATATTTTAACAAGTAGAATAACAACACACACATCTTGAAACTACTAGAAATTAAGGCAAGCCCCAGTAAAGTTCAGTATTCCTCAATAACATTTTACAAAACAAAGGTGACTCCAAAACTACTGGCTTTAGACCTGATGGCACCCCAATGGTCTTTAAAATATGTTAAAGAATCCATTTTGTATTTGTATTACTGAATCCATTTTGTATTTGTTTCATTACTTTCAGGCTCTATATATCAAAAAAAGAGCTGGAAAAAGAACAGATTCTATAACTTCATGTTCTGAGATAATTCATCATTTCAGGAATATGTGAAAACCAAGCCAGGCCCATGTGGGATATAAACTGAGGATCCTGCTGGGGTGAGGTGGGGGCAGTCTTCATTTTTTATGTATGTCTGTTCACATTCTCTTTAGTGTTGTACAATAATCAATTTCTGAGTGGGAACAACCCATTAAAATAGAGAAGTCTCTTCTGAAAAACAGCCAAGGAAGATGACAAGAACAGTTTACAAAATGTTGTTCTAGGACAACACAGTATTAATATATAGCATTTAAATTAGTCTATAGTCCAGGGCAGGATAGTTTTCTCTCAGGAAGCTAAGTTATAATTTTCCTGTAACATGTCAGTTTTAGTTGATCAAAATAATTTGTGATTTGTTGAATTTTAAATACCACTATACTATCCAAAAGTATAACTATCAAATAGGTAATATCCCAACATGTTTTAGCTAGGTAGTTTAATAAGATTTAAAACAAACAACTTAACTGTAGTGTTTTATTCTCTGTTGTTACGGAACATTCGTGCATTAACAAGTGCAACTCGTTAATCTTATGGGCAGGTGATTACAGTGTATACTGTAGAAATTTGAATTTTGAAACAAAATCCACCTTCTATTAGTGTGAATGCTCATTATGAAAGCCAAATTCTCATGTTAACTAATGGAAGACTGTAGGTACATTTAGGGTATCTACATGTAGTTTAAAAAGAAATTCAGGAAACTTTAACTCATTAACAACTACTTAAGGAAATAATCTGAGGTTATATCCCTTTGATGCATAAGGATCATACTTTGCAAACCTGTAAACATGTACTTTGTTACTTAAAAAAAGTCTTCCCATTACAAGGAAAGCAGACTATTAAAGGCCATGAGTATTCCAGCAGGCCTCCTCCAAAGTTATGATAATATGGCTAAATCCTATGATTAGAAAAAATGAGATCTGCTGAGAAAATAAGTTTCAGACGTGACGTAGACTTTTATGGATGACCTTGGCTGACAAGTGTTTTTTGGAAATTGTTTATTTTAGTATTACCTTCCCAACAAACCATGAAACACTTGGATGTTACTTTATGGTTTTTCATTGAAAACATACTATATTGTAAATGGAGTTTCAAACTAAGACATAGAGTTGATCAAAATCTAAGGACAATGTTATGTAAGGACAGTATTAAAAATGGGTAAGAAAAATTTTCATTTAGTGAAATTAAGCTAAAAGATGCAAATCCATGTCATGTTGGAGGGATAAAAAAGGTGGTATCCTTGTGCTTTTCTTCAACTAAGGTACTTACCACAACCTTAAAATTTATACAGGTGTCAAACTCCCACCTGGAAAGGGATAGTTTTCTACATTACACCTAAATTTATTTTAAATAACTGAAGTCCAAAGCAACAGTTTTTAAAAGAACTTAACAGTAAATAGTAACTACATAATTTAGTACATTAAAATAAAACTAGGACAGTAATAACTGAATGTCTCAAAAATATACAAGTGGGGAAAATAACCACTGTACACAATTTGGAGGTTGTTTAAAGTGACCACTCAGAAGGTTGAACAGTGCAAGACATGCTTTTCCAGTTACAAGCTCAAAATAGGAGTGCAAACGAAATTAAAGCTTTTGTTTAAAGTTGTAGGAAAAGGAAAGCTTGAAATTATTAAAAAGCTTCCCTCAGGTCATCCCCCAGAAATGAAATGATCAAAATGCTTTTTCATGGTAAAATTTTCTCAATGAACTTTTTTCAAAGGCAAAACTGCATCCCACAAGTTGAGTCCCCTACTCAGTCACCACACTGGATCAATGAGCACATACACAGTGATGAGAGTGAGGAACAGTACTAGTTACCAGAGGTCTGATATTGATAGAGCCTTGGAATTTGGGGTTCTGCCTTAGCCAGTATACCTGAACCCTACAGAGAATAGATAAAGCAACAGGGCTTTAATACTCTTGTTCCTGTAAAACTGGAGGACAAATGGACTAATAAATCCCTTCCCCTAGAGGCAAGCCACTGTGGTGGAAGATGTTAAGTGCTTAAATAAACCAAGACACTGCTCTAAAAAGTGGAGAAGTATAGAGGTTCAAGATCAATACCAGTGCAAGAGCTTTTTAAGTGAGCTGACTAGGCAATGCATGCATCCATCCATGCAAATGTAGGACATGGCCCCCTAAGAAAACTGAAAATATATGTAACAACTGGATAAACCCCTTGACAGTAATTTATAAAAATATATAGTCAATACTGTAGAGGCCCCTTCTACAGTCAATACTATGGAAGTCCATTTTTAGTTACCCATTATTTCAATACCAAAAAGCATTTACTACTTTTCAGACATTCCAGACAAAGGTCACTTATAACAAAAAGTCAACTTTTTTTAAACAAGATATTGTCCATTTAAAAAGTAGATCTTTTCTTTCAAGTGAACAGGACATTTTCTGTATTAAGCTTAACTTCTAGTCTATCAAGACTGGTTTGTTTAAGATCCTTATGTAATGTGCATATACGCAGAAACAAATAAACTTACTTTAAACATTTTCTGCACAGAAAAAAAGTTAACTTCTTAAACATGATAGAACAGGTCTGGTTAGTACAAATCTATTGCAAAGTAAAAAGATTCTGTGCATCAGTTCAACCAGGAGAAGCAGGAAAAGAATGTCCCAATCATGAAAGTTCAAGTGTAAGTTGTGTTCTGAAAGCCTAGAAGCCTAAGGGACACCATGCTGCTCACAGTATCCTGATAAGCGTAATTGCTTAAGCTACTAAGCCAGTGTCTTCCTCTGCAGCTAGAACCACATTTCAATTTACTTTCTATTCCGGAGACGTTTAGATTTCCTAAGCGAGTCTATGGCTTCTGCAGCCTTTTTTCGTTTCCGAGGAGACTCTTCATTCTGCCCGGACCCTGAGGAGTTTCCTACTGCACTTTCCATGACTTCTCGTAGTTTGCGCTCTAGCTCTGCCAACCGTGCATTCTGTTCACCTATGATCTGGGTCTGCTCTAGCAGTTTCTGGTCCTGGTCTTGAAGCTGTTTCTGCTGTTCTTGCACTTTGGTGCGAAGCTCAGAAATTTCACGCCTGAGAACAGTCACACCAGCACCATTTGTCTTAACCTGCTGCTGAAGTTTTGTAACCTCTTGTCTTGAAGGGTTTTGCTTGGAGAAAAGCTGCATTGTTGTTAGGGCTGCAGAAGGTCCTGGAACTGTGGAGAAATAGTTCAAAATAGTCAATCACTTGAAATGGCTATCAATAATACCGCATTAATTAAACTTACTTTAAAATGGGAGATCCTTATGCCATCACTTGTGAAAATTTCTTCTTTGCAGTCTGCTTGGTTTCTAATGGGTTAGTATCAGACACCTTATTTTAACTGTAAATGAGTTTCAATTCTAATTCTCATATTTATGTGGTAATATGTGGAGTCAAAGCAAATGGAGAAGGGTATAGTAGAATAAACTTGGACTTAAAATATTATAAAACATTTTTTAGGACATAGTAAGAAAATACAAGTAGTGAATGTGGAATATAATTATTTTCTATCTTATTTCATATAAGCAAACAATCTTTCTTATTAAAAGTACAGACCATTCATATGTCTAAGTTCTCTCTATACTCAGTTGTATGCGAAGGCTTTAACTTTAGCCAAACAGTAAGAATACCATCAAAAAAATGGGCATCATACATGATCGTCATGAAGAATTTCTGACATGGTTAGGAAGACTTTGGAGCTACTCTGTTTGGGGATAAATCGTGTGCATAAAATTTTCACTATTTTAAACTATTTTTTTTTTTAAAGATTTATTTACTTATGCATACAAGAACTGGGATATAGGCCAGAGGTGCAGGGGGTGAGAGGATTCATCAGAGACAGTGGGGAACAGAACAGACAGAGTGACTGAAATACACTGCTGAGGGGAGCTGCGGGCAAGACAGGAGAGGTCTGCTGTGCCTGGCTGGCTGGGGATGGAACTCATGTTGCAGAGCCTGTGGACAGCTTCACAGTGCTGTGTTTAACCCCTTGCACCACCAAGGAGGCCCCTCTTAACGGTTTTCTAAAAGGACAGACCCATCTATTCTGACCCTAAATCCATCATGCTAATTTTCTCCTCGTTCATCTAAATAAACAGAATATTTTCCTTGACAGAGGTATCATCTTCCTTCTTTCTCTGCTTATCTTTTCCTGACTTCCACTTCCACATCAAAGCTCAAACCAATTTTTACCTCTTGTGAAGATTAAATAAGACCAGTCAACAATGAATTATCTTCCTTAAGATTATCTAAAACAGTTTATATATTTAAAATAAATATTTAAAAATATTTGAAATATTTAAAATATTAAAATATTTCTCTTTGTCTATGATAATTTAACTATGACTCTGGATCTATATGCCTTACTTTCGAAATAGTAAGATCTTTAAGAATAGACACCACATATCAAACTTTTTAGTCTCTCCAGGACACAGTACAGTGTTGTGTGCAAAATAGGTACTTAGTAAACAGTAGATGTATTAATGCTGAGTTTTGTTATTAAATTACAGAGAGCCACTCAGTTACCCACTGACTACTCCAGGGAGCTTCTAATCTAAACAGAACACAGCTTCAGAAATTTTTCCCCCTCACTTAAAGTATTTGCAAGGATTGAGAATACTGAGCAATTTAATCTTCTAGTAGATAAGGGCACAAATCTCTAGGATCCAGTATCCTTTTGCAAAACAGCTATCACAGAAGAAGTGACAGTGTTCAAAATAGCCTTTAGAAGGCTTACAGCCCTGTCTTTTAAAGCAGCAGTTAGATAATTTGGGGGGCTGAAATAATTCACTGGATATTTTTATGAAGAATTTTTTTGTTTTATCTGGTTCATTTAATTTTGTTTTACGGTAATGAAGATTAACTAGTCAGAAACAACAAAGAGACACACAAATTCAAGATACATGGTTAAGTGGGTGGGGAAGAAGTTATAACTACGTATGAATGTTATTATAAATTGAATATATTACAAACAACAGATACCTGGAGGAGAGCCCATGAGTCTTCCAGATACATCTGATCCTGGTAATTTCCTCTTTAAAATTGGAACAATTTTTTCATCAAAGTATTCCATTGCCATGGAGGAAATATCCCTCAATTCTTGAAGTACTTCATGAGCTCGTTGAGGGGCTCTGGTAGAATTGACATATCTCAACACACGATAAATCTCATCAATAACCTAAAATAATGAATTCTCATTAGCACTTTCAATTTCTTAAAAAAGAAAAGTTAAATAGGGAGAGAAGTGACTGCTTATTTTATAATTCCTGTGAAGCTCTATAGAGTAATTTGATATTCCAACTATAGCTCTTGCCCTTAAAGAAATCATAATGTAACTGGGGAGACAGATGTTTTAGTTAAGAGACATAAAGAGGAATATATAAATTGCTAAAGAAACTAGAAAATAAAACTCAATCCTCTCTGTAAGCAGTGCTAAAGGTGGGAGGAATTATTCAAAACTGGATTTTGTTAATTCTCTAAACCTGATTCACTCTAACTGGAATCTATTTCCCAAAGCCTCAGAGACTCAACCTGATTTACTTCTCTCTTTTTGTACTGACACCACATGCTCTATCTCTTTTTTACTTTCAGACTTGCTATGAACTGGAAAAAGGTCTTCTTAGATTGATCTTTCTTGCTATCACCAATGAGTAGCAAAAGATCCTTTTCCGTTTTAATGATAATTGTAATGGGGAAACACAAGGCACAACACATAAGAAGACACAAAATTCCTATAAACCTTGTTTCTAATTTTTGCTGGAAAGACGTTTTTCCTTTTATCTATTTATCTGTGAAGTTATGCTTAATACTTCCCCTGGTTTTAGCATAGACCTGAAGATAATAATTTTTAAAAAAGATTTATTTATTTATACAAGAACCAGGGTACAGGCCAGATTTGTGGGAGGGTGAGAGGATTCACCAGAGACAGAGCGGGGACCAGAACAGGCAGACTGATGAAATACACTGCTGACGGGAGCAGCGGGTGCGACAGAAGAGGTCTGCCGTGCCATGTGGGACCTTCGCCCACCGGCCAGGATGGAACTGGCGCTGCAGAAGCTGCAGACAGCTTCATGGTGCTGCACTCAACCGCCTGTGCCACCAGGGGAGGCCCTGAAATAATATTTTTTTTTATTTTGAAGATAACGATTTATATCTAGACCTCTAGTCTAGATATCTATTCCAATTGGCCTTTATGTCACAAAAATACTGGGTTAATCAGCCCTGAATTCCACTGCATTTATCCATTTATCCAGTACCCACCTCTGGAACAGTTTTATTTTATTTATTTATTTTGTAAAGATTTTATTTATGCATACAAGAGCTAGGGTACAGGCCAGAGGTGTAGGGGGTGAGAGGATTCACCAGAGACAGAGCGGGGAACAGAACAGGCAGATTGACCGAAGTACATTGCTGAGAGGAGCAGCGGGCGGGCCAGGAGAGGTCTGCTGCGCCATGTGGGTTGCTCCCTGGCTGGCCGGGGGATTGAACCCGTGCTGCAGCTTCATAGTGCTGTGGCTTAACCCCCTGCGCCACCAGGGAGGCCCTGGAACAGTTTTATACTCTGTATTCTCTTCTCCTTTACTTGGGCCTCTGTATACTACTAAAGAAACATGTAATCTTGCAGGATAATACCACAGCAAACTCAGTCCTTAACATTTTATAGACTCAGTAGAATGGGATGGTCCTTGTCAGTTTAGCATCATATATGCCTAATAAATGCCAGCAAAATGGAACTGTTAGGATATGTCCTTATGTGAACCAGAGAAGACTCCACAGGTGTGGCCACATCTGATCCTGGAGAGATGGACAGGATGAGTTGGTATATACACAAGCAGATATAACAGGAGGTAAGACATGTTGCGATCCAGTTACATGAGACATGCAGGTGATACCAGCCAGCAAGCAGCTGGAAATATAGGTTGGGAGTTCAGAAAAAAGAGTGCAGATGACAGAGAGGTCTCAAGCCAATGGCACTGAAGGGACTGGCAATGTCAAGGGAGAAGATACAGAAAAAGATAGTCAAAGGCCAAATCCTGAAGCACCAATGGTTAAGTCATACATTTATTTTCGGAACAGTAATTATGAACTCACTTCAGAAGAAAGTAACACTTTCAACAATAACTTTTTGAACCATCAAGTTAGAAATTAGTATAGATATTGAAAAAAGCAAGAAAATAAGAGTACTATCCTTTGGGCTTAAGAATTTAATTATATGAGCATATTTATTAAGATAAACATTTTCAAGCATGTATGAGGTTCTTTAGAGGTGTGTAGTAAGAAAGCATAGTATCTGCCCAATTCTCAAGATATTTAATCTTCTGAGTAGGTTTAATTACTTTCTGAAAATAATTTAAGCAACAAGAATGTAATGGCATAAGTCTCGAGGTACAGTGGAAAGGCCACAGGCCTGATGCAGGTCACTTAAACTGTTAATGGCTGCTTCTACACCTTTCAAATAACATGCCACATGCTGAATCATAGCCAAGCTTGAGATAACAGAATAGTTATGAAAAATATCAATTTTAATAAAGTATGGTACAAACTAGATGTGAACAATTATCTCATTTCTAACACATGTAGTTCACTCTATGATGCTTATGTTTAAATTGACATAGTAATAAATGCTATATTATAAGCATCATTTCACTCTTTGCCCTGTTGTGGGTAAGAACATTTCTATCTCATTTAACCTATTTAGCAAACAAAGTTCCTATTAGAATATTGAATATGTTTTCATTTTTAATCTTTGCCTTTTTATTCTACTTGGGATGTCCTTAATTTCCGTTTCTATTTTCTAAAATTTTCTTCTATATTTTACAAATGTACATTTAAGTACATTTAACTTTTTCTTTATATGACAGTATTTCACTATATATTTTCTTACTTCTAGAATATTATAGTTTCTACTTGAAGTTTTATATCCTTGTATGGTTTTCTCAAAGGTGTTTCCCCCCATTTAGTTTATTCTGTGTTTCATATTAGTCTGGTGAGTCTCTATCTCTCCCTGTATTTAAGAATGGAGCAGATAAAAAGCTGATTACAACTCCTTTAGTCAGCTAAGATTGTTGGTGAGGCCACGGTTGTGAGGAGTGGGGGTAGGAGGAGTGGGGATGGTTTATTTATTTTTTATTTTAGTGGGGATGGTTTAAAGAGAACAAGGGATCTAAAAATTCTATGTGGAAGAAGATTGACTCTTTTTTTTCTTCATTTTAAATGCTCATGGACTATGTATTTATCTGGGATAAGAATAATAAAGGAAGAAATGTTCCCAAATAATCCTGACTTTTAATAGTAACAAACAATTCTAAAAGAAACAAAAAATACAACATTCTAATACAAATTTAGACAAACTCAAATTTAAGACTCAAAATACTCAGAATAACTGATCCATACTGCAAAAATGTGAAGATCAAGAAGAGTATTGCATCAGTATTAAATGTCCTGGTTTTTTGTTTTTTTTTTTTTTTGTATCTGTATTATGATTACGAGAATGTTCTAGTTCTTAGAGAATACACTAACATACCTCACAATAAAGGGTTACAATTTCTCCTATATATTTTCAAATGGTCCAGAAAAAATAAAATGCATATGTAGAGAGAATGCATCAAAACAAAGTTACAGGGCCTCCTTAGTGGTGCAAGGGGCACAGCACTGTGAAGCTAAATGCGGCCTCTGCAACATGAATTCCATCCCCAGCCCGCCAGCGAGCCCTCAACTGGCCAAGGAGCTATCCACATGGTACAGCAGAGCTCTCCTGCGGCAACCACTGCTCCCTTCAGCAGGGTATTTCAGACAGTCTACCTACCTGTTCTGGTCCCCACTCTGTCTCTGGTGAATTCTCCAACCCCCGCAGCTCTGGCCTATACCCAGTACCCCAGTTCTTGTGTGCATAAATAAATAAATCTTAAAAAATAATCAAAAACCCAGTTACAACTCCAAAAGGAATTAAAAAAATCCAACACCACTTAGTTTTTTCCTCCCAAACATTAGAACCCAACAACACCTAACACGTAGATTTTAAAGTGTCAGTTTGTACAAGGAATTCTAACTTAATGGCCATGTGCAATCACTTACACAGTGAAAATCCTGAGTGTTAGGGATGACCGTATTAAAGTAAACACAAAAGGGTCTGACTTCTGTATGTCAGCTATAAGACCTGAGAAATATAAACAGGAGTAACCTAAAATTGATAAGCTCTTAGTTCTGAGAGAAGATAAATGGAACATCAATATGAGGTCAGAATTAAAAACTATCTAAAGTGTGTCTGCTTTTGCAAATAGGTTTTACTGGAACACAAATGGACACATTTATTTCACGACATACTGCCCAGGGCTGTTTCTCAGAGTTGAGTAGCTGTGACTGAGTTCACGAGGCCCATAAAGACAGAAATATTTAATATTGGGCCCTTTACAGGAAAAGTTTTCTGATCCCTGCCACAGATGATAGCGATAAACTCCTGATCAGTCTGAGATTTTGAGACAGGTTTTCTTTTAATGGCCTTAGTGTCAAGTATAGTTTCCTTGCCATTTTATATTTCACCAGTAAGTAATTCCTAGGTTTTCTGAGTTAGGAGGGCAATGATCTAGCTTGAAGTTGGAAAGGGAATCTGTAAGTTTAAGTCACTGTTAAATATAGACCCTGAACCAACCATCCTGTTTTATTTTTTTTTTTTAAGACGTATTTATTCATGTATACAAGAACGGGGGTACAGGTCAGAGTGTGAGAATTCACCAGAGAAAGAGTGGGGAACACAACAGGAAGACAGACTGAAATACACTGCTGAGAAGAACAGCAAGTGAGATAGGAGAAGTCTGCTGTGCCATGTGGGTAGCTCCCTGGCCAGCCGGGGATTGAACTCGAGCTGTAGTAGCTGCAGACAGCTTCACAGTGCTGCGACTTAACCCCTTGTGCCACCAAGGAGGGCCCACAACCATCCTGTTTTAGACCTACCCTTTCAGAATTGCTTGGAAAGTTCAATTCCAGAGATTTCTAGTGGTTTAAACTTTTTCAATTCTGCTAAGTCAGTTACCATTTGTTTCCCTACTTTCAAGCTTCCAAAATTGAAATGATACTGTCCCTTCTGATCCTGTTCTCATGGGTCTCTGTAGTTTTTACCTTTTAAAAATGAACCCATCTACTACTTTACTGGAGTTCTGGGAGAATAAGGTAAAAATGTAAAGTAAATCCACTTAACTTTGCCAGTAGGTTCTTGAAAACTGTGGCTCTAAACCTTATGATGAAACTGATTTTACCATAGACTACTTGATATAAACAAGAGTTAAGTCCCTATGGTATATTTCTATTCACAATATAACCTGAGTTCTTTAAAAAACCCAAAACATTTCTAAAATTAAACAACCATTTCCATCCATCCATCCATTCATTCATTTTCCAACCAGTTTACTCCAGTTCAGGGTCCAGGTGACCAGAGTCTATCCCAGCATCTCAGGGTACAAGGACATCTTTCCATCCAGGGCACACTAACACCCATAATCATTAAAACTGGGATAACTGAGCCAGACCAATGAACCTAACATGTACATCTCTGGAATGTGGGAGAAATCCCTCATATCCAAAGAAAATCCATAGACATACGGAAAACAAGTAAACTCCACACGCACAGTGGCCCCTACCAGGAACTGATTTTTCCCCCTCAATATGAAGCAATGTTGTATGAAGATGCTATCTGTGGACCTGCCAGATTTAATCTGGCATCTTTAACCTAGCATTAATTTAATTTTTAAAAAAAGATTTATTTATTTTTATACAAGAAGCGGGGTACAGGCCAGATACGCGGGAGGGTGAGAGGATTCACCAGAGCCACAGTGGGGAGCAGAACAGGCAGATCTACTGAAATACACTGCTGAGGGGAGCAGTGGGTGAGACAGGAGAGGCCTGCTGCGCCATGTGGGTCACCTCCCTGGCCGGCCAGGGATCAAAATCATGCTGCAGTGGCTGGCGATAGCTTGATAGCACTGTCTTTAATCCCTGCACCACAAGGGAGGCCCTCTAGCATTAATTTTAAGACAATCTTATTGCTGTTTGAGAGAACAATTTTATTTTATTTTATTTTATTTTTTTTTTTTTAAGATTTTTTTTTTTAATAGAGGCATGTTTTTATTTATTTATTTGTTTGGGTTTTTTTTTGTTTATGCATGCACTGGGTACAGTCAGAAGCACGGGAGGGTGAAAGAATTCACCAGAGCCAGAGCGGGGAGCAGAGCAGGCAGAAGGACCGAAGCACACTGCTGAGGGGAGCAGCGGGCGGCAGGAGAGGTCTGCGCGCCATGTGGGACCCTCCTCCGGTGGCCGGGGAGCAGCCGGGGATAGAACCGGCGCCACAGAGGCCGCGGGCAGCTTCGCAACCCAGCGCTCTACTGCTGCGCCACCTGGGAGGCCCGAGAGAACAATTTTAAAGATAACTTTTTTAACTATTAAAGGTCCAAATTTCTGCACATATCAAGTAATCTAAACTATAATGTTTTTAGTATCCAGATTCACTTCAATAATTTGTGAAAAGCAATTTATGAAATGAAATGCTTACTACAGACCTGATTTTTAACAAAATGATATATTCTATACAAAAATCACAAAAATTAATTCTCTTCAATGTATAAAAGCTCCTGAACTTTTATTGTAGTATTACTCATCTTGGAGAAAACAAGAATAACCTAGTATAGGGCCTCCCCGGTGGCACAGCAGTTGAGCGCTGGGTTGCGAAGCTGCCCGCAGCCTCTGCAGCGCCGGTTCAATCCCTGGCTGCTCCCCGGCCACCGGAGGAAGGTCCCACATGGCGCGCAGAGCTCTCCTGCCTCCCACTGCTCCCCTCAGCAGTGTACCTTGGTCCTTCTGCCTGTTCTGCTCCCCGCTCTGGCTCTGGTGAATTCTCTCACCCTCCTGCGCTTCTGACTGTACCCAGTGCTTGTATAAACAAATAAATTTTAAAAAAAAAGAAGAAAAGAGAAATGTGCATTTTAAAAAGATGAAAGCAATGATAAAAGAAATAGATCGGTATCTATAGGTAAATTCCTTTGTTCTTTTATTGTGGGCAAGGTAAAGATTTCAGTAAAGGAGCTGTACAAAGCAAAGGTCCAAGGGAATCTAATGCATCGTGAAAACTGGCTATTTGCCTTTGCTGCACCTGTACCTCAGTTTTGTTCTTTTATTTTGGTACTAGAATTTAAAGTGAAATGTCAACAAATAGTTCCCGGAACTCAGCAGGATTCAACTAGATTTAGTCTCGATTTTTTATTATTAAACTCAATTTTTAGATAGTAAATATCATCATTCCAACTACGTGATCCTAATCAAGGAGAACAAGGATGGGCAACTTCTATAAAGGTCAGTATCTGAGGTTTTGCAGGCCATATGAACTCTGTTGCAAGCACTCAACTCCTCTTAGCAACCTGTGATTGAGTTTTCTCTTAGGTTATGAAAACTATATGAGGCCCCTTAAACATTCATCTTCTTCTTTTTTTTTTTTTTTAAGATTTATTTATTTATTTATACAAGCACTGGGTACAGTCAGAAGAGCAGGAGGGTGAGAGAATTCACCAGAGCCAGAGCGGGGAGCAGAGCAGGCAGAAGGACTCAGGTACACTGCTGAGGGGAGGAGCAGGAGGCAGGAGAGGTCTGCGTGCCATGCGGGACCCTCCTCCAGTGGCCGGGGAGCAGCCGGGGATCGAACTGGTGCTGCGGAGGCTGCGGGCAGTTTCGCAACCCAGCGCTCAACCACTGCGCCACCAGGGAGGCCCACATTCATCTTCTTGACAATAAGATAGGCAATAAAAACTATGAAGCTCCGGCGTCCCTGGTGACGCAAGGGGTTAAGACACAACCTATGGAGCTGACCGCAGCCACTGCAGCACCTGAGTTTGACCCCAGGCCAGGGAGCAACCCACATGGCACAGCAGACCTCTCCTGACAGTGGGTGCACTGCTCCCCTCAGCAGTGTATTTCAGTATATCTGCTTGTTCTGTTCCCTACTCTGTCTCTGGTGAATCCTCTCACCCCCATACCCTGGCTTGTACCCCACTTCTTGCATGCATAGATAGATAAATCTTTAAAAAAAAAAAAAACCTATGAGGCTATAAGAGACAATCTGTACTATAGTTCAATGAACTTCTCTGGAACTCTTTGTTTTTGAGGCCGATAAATCAGATTTGATCTAACTTGGCACAAGAATCAGAAACTAAATGCAAATGAATTACCCTTTTACAGTATCTTTCAAAATTATTTGTAGCTAATATGAAAGATTCACCAAAGATTATTTCAAATAAAATTAAGAAACAGGATTCCTCACAAATATAAACATCATAGAAAATTTTAAATGGAGGAAGTATAATTTTGCCAACATTAATTATAGTAAAAAGAGACCATTCAAATTTTATTAAATTAGTCCCAACCCCATTAAGGGAACCTTTGCCAACATGAACTAAGTAGCAAAATAAACTTAGTCTCCACTCTTTGCATATGAAAAGATAAAGATATATTTCATCTGAATTGACAATTCAAGAAACAAGATATTTCTGAAGGCATGAGCAGCAGGTAGAAAGTTGAGGTCTTTCTTGAAGGGAGGGAGAATGAATATCTGGTTCATTGTTGTATCTCTGGCATATTAACTAAGAATATAAGCTCAAAAAAAATTTTTTTAAAGATTTATTTATTTATGCATACAAGAAATGGGGTATAGACCAGAGGTGCAGGGGGGTGAGAGGATTTACCAGAGACAGAGTAGGGAACAAAACAGGCAGACCGACTGAAATAAACTGCTGAGGGGAGCAGTGGGTGAGACAGGCAGCGCCATGTGGGTAGCTCCCTGGCTGGGGATCAAATTCATGCTATAGTGGCATGATAGTGCTAAGACTTTAATCCCTGTGCCACCAGAGGGGCTCATAAATTTTATGAATTTCTCAACAAACCTCCCTAAAGAATTAAGTAGGGTTTCTGTTTATTTTATAATTAGAAGTTTAAATATAGAGAACAAATGAATCACAGTCATATGAGTTACTATATAGAAGCTAAACAAATCCATTCTTTTTTTTCTTAAAAGATTTATTTATTTATACAAGAACCGGGGTATAGGTCAGATTCACAGGAGGGTGAGAAGATTCACTGGAGACAGAGCAGGGAGCAGAACAGGCAGACTAAATAAATACACTGCTTGAGGGGAGCAGCAGGTGAGACAGGAGAGGTCTGCTTGCCATGTGGGACCCTCGCCAGCCGGCCAGGATCGAACCAGCACTGTAGAGGCCGCAGACAGCTTCACAACACAGTGCTCAACCGCCTGAGCCACCAGGGGAGACCCTAAACAAATCCATTCTTTTTTTTTTTTTAAAGCATATTCTTTTTTTTATGAATTCCCTCTTAGGAATCTTTTTTTTTTTTTAATATTTATTTATTTATTTATTTATACAAGTACTGGGTACAGTTAGAAGCGTGGGAGGGTGAGAGAATTCACCAGAGCCACAGCGGAGAGCAGAACAGGCAGAGTGAGGAGGTACACTGCTGAGGGAAGCAGCCGGTGGCACGAGAGGTCTGCGCGCCATGTGGGACCCTCACCCGGCGGCCGGGGATGGAACCGGCGCTGCAGAGGCTGCGGGCAGCCTCGCAACCCAGCGCTCAACCGCTGAGCCACTGGGGAAGCCCAACAAATCCATTCTTAAGAAACTTATTCAGAGAAGCAGGAATGATTCTGGTATTTCAAAATTCAATGTGTAACTTTATAATAATTTAAATTTCACAGAATACAGTCTACCTGTTTAGATAAGCATTTCTATTTTACCTTTCCTGGGATGAAGCAACAGAGGTTGGAATCCACATACTTCATGAAAGTCATGTTTAGTAGTGATAGCCTTGTTTCAACTGCAGCAAGGATATCTGCATGACGAGCTAATGAATGATTTCTCCTTTCTGACTCTCTCCTATAATAAAAAAAGCAATCATTAAAGAAGTACTGTGTACTACAATGCAATCAAAATGCTTTAATGAAACAGTCTAACAATTACATTTAATTCAGAAATCTACAATTGAGTCATAACTAAACACTAATGATAAATGAGTCACTATGTCCAAAAACTTGCCAAGAACTGGTACTCATTTTGATAAAATATTTGGGGGAAAAAATGTACTTTTTTTTTTATACCAAGTCGTTGGAAACAAAGAAATCAGATAAAGAATCACATACAGACAAGCAACTATAATACAGTATGGGACATTTTGTGTGTTTTTACTTAATAGTTCTTCAGGTTTATCCATATTGTAGCACGTCAGTACTTATTCCTTCCTTCTGTCAAATAACCTTATATTGATATACTATAAGATTAGATGTACTCTGGATTTCCATTTTTTTGGCTATGATGAATAACGCTACTGAATAATGCACTTAGAAGTTTTTATGTGGACATATTTTTATGCCAGGTCATATGGTAATTCTATGCTTAACTTTTTGAGGAACAAACTATTTTCTAAAGTGGGTACACCATTTTACAATTTTCCCAGTAACAAAGGAAGGTTCCAATTTGTCCATATTCTTCCCAACCTTTTTTATTTTAGCTTTCCTAATGGGTTTTGAAAAGTGGTATCCCACAATGTTCTGATTTGTAATGTCCTAATTTCTAATGATGTTGAACATCTTTGGTGAGCTTGTTGGCCTTTAATGTATCTTTTTCAAAGAAATGTCCATTCAATCATTTGCCCATTTTTAAATTTGGTTGTCTTTTTAATGTTGAGTTGTAAGAGTTCCTAATACTATCTAGAACAAATCTCTCATCAGTGATATTTTGAGAGCTGAAAATGTTTTCTCCTATTCTGTCGATCATCTTTTAATTTTCTTTTTTTTTAAATTTATTTATGCGTATAAGAGCTGGGGTAGGCCAGAGGTGTGGGGGGTGAGAGGATTCACCAGAGACAGTGTGTGGAGCATAACAGGCAGATCTACTGAAATACACTGTGAGGGGAGCAGCGGTTGAGACAGGAGAGCCCTGCTGCACATATGGGTAGCTCCCTGACTGGGGATCGAATTCATGCTACAGTGGCTGCCAATTAGCTTCATAGTGCTGAGACTGAACCCCCTGCACCATCAAGGAGGCCACTCTTTTCATTTTCTTAATGGTGTCTTTGAGTCACAAAAGTTTTCAATATTGCTTAAGTCTGGTTGGTCTACATTGTTCTCTTTAGTTACTTAGGTTTTTGGTATCACACCTAAGAAACCATCGCCTAATCCAAGTTCATGAACGCTTAAGTTTTCTTGTACATGTTTTATGGTATAGCACTGACACTCTTATGTCTATGATTGATTTTGAATTATTTTTTGTATAGTATGAGGAAGATGTCTGACTTCATTTTTTTCCTATATATACACACAGGTGTCACAGCATCATTTGTGGAAAACATTATTCTTTCACTATTGAATTGTCTTGGCATCCTTGTTCAAAAGCAATTGACTAAAAATGTAGGAATTTATTTCTAGACTCTCAATTCCATTGATCTCTATGTTTATACTTGCACCAGTACTACACTGTTTCGATCAGAGTAGCTTTGTGTTAAAATTTTAAACTGGAATGTGGAACCCCCCAAATCTGGTCTTCATTTATCTAGACTTTTGTTTATTCTGAGTCTTTTGTATTTCTAGAGGAATTAAAAATTCAGTACATCAATTTCTGCAAAAAAGATAGCTAGGATTTTGAAAGGGATCACACTGAAGGAACGAATAGATCAATTTGGAGACTGTTACCATCTGTACAGTAAGGAATTACCTATAAGCATCGAATGTGTAATTGTTATTAATTTTTTTAACAATGTTTTGTAGATTTCAGCACACAAGTCTTATACTACTTCTATTATATTTGTCACAAGGTATTTTTTTTCTTTTTGATGGTAAATAGAACTGTCTTTCTAACTTCATTTTTAGATAGTTTATTGCTATTGTATACAATTACACAACTGACTTGTATATCAATTTTGTATCTTCTATTGTTGCTAAACTGGTTTATTGCTCTAACAATTAATTATTATAGTCATTATATACAAGGTTCACATACATACAAGATCATGTCACCTGTGAAAAGAATATTTTATTTTTTTCTTCTCAATCTGGATGTCTTTTATTTTATTTTCTTGTCTAACTGCCATGGCTAGAACTTCCAGTAAAATGTTGAACAGCTATGGTGAGAAAGGACAAACCACAGCAAAAGTCACTTATAATGATCCCTGTGCCTTTTGCTATAAAACCTTGGAAATCATTAAACCTCCAGACTTAAAAAATAAATACACAAAACCACCAATTATAAATCATTACCACTGCTAACCATAACACACCTTGGAAGTTGTGCTTTAACTTGTTTCTGACATAGATTATGGTACCTCTCCACTTTTAGAAATCCCTGATTCAACATTCTCTGGCAGACCAAGTCCATTCTTTTACAAACCTATTAGGGAAAGAAAAGGAGAAAGAATTTTTAAAAAGTAACAACCAAATTATCATCCATTAATTTTGATCATAATTAAAGATGGAAAACTCTTTGTGCTAATATTGTCCCCCGGTTTGCTGTCTGAATTTTTCAATCACTATACATGGGTGAATTGCTCATTATAATTCTTGCACTACTGCATTAAGAAATTAGTATTATGCATAGGCAAGAAATACTTGACTCCTTTACTTCAGATATTTGTTAAATGTTCTGAATATATTCCAATTATTAAGATCAGGTAACATCCTGAAGATCAGTACAAGAACATAGTCAAAAGTTTTTAATGTTTGAAACAAAATTCTTGGGCCAAAATGTTTATTCAAGCTTGAGTCTAACTTCTCACAAGGTTTCTAAGATCTATACCCAGAATGAGAATTTTTATTTATTTCTTCTTGTAATTTTTTTTGTTTGTTTTTAAATAAAGCTTTATTGTAGGTGATAGCACACACTTAAGAGTGAGTGCAGGCAGATTCAGAGGATAGTCCCTTCTTCTAGGGATTTGAGATAACTATGGAGAGTTCATGATGGCCAGGGTCCTATACTAGATAGTTATACCCTCCAAAATATTTTAAAACATGTAGCTGAAGCAACTGTTCTGGAACTTGGTGTCTTTATACAGTAAAAACAGGATAAGAAGTCAACACCCATATTTATGTCCAATTTTTATGCACTGGGGTATGTGAGGATTCATCAGAGACAGAGTAAGGAGCAGAACAGGTGGATCTACTGAAACACATTGCTGAGGGGAGCAGCGGGCGAGACAAGAGGGGTCTGCTGCGCCATGTGGGTCACCTCACAGGTGGGCTGGGGAATGAACTTGCTGCAGTGGGCTGGCAAATAGCGTGATAGAGCTGTTGTTAACCTCTGCACCACCAGGGAAGCCCTTTTTATGCATTCTTGAGCAAGTTAACTACCATTTGAAAACTGAAATCAGGGCCTCCCCGGTGGCGCAGCGGTTGAGCGCTGGGTTGCGAAGCTGCCCGCGGCCTCTGCAGCGCTGGTTCGATCCCCGGCTGCTCCCCGGCCACAGGAGTAGGGTCCCACATGGCGTGCAGACCTCTCCTGCCGCCCACTGCTCCCCTCAGCAGTGTACTTCGGTCCTTCTGCCTGCTCTGCTCCCTGCTCTGGCTCTGGTGAATTCTCTCACCCTCCCGCGCTTCTGACTGTACCCAGTGCTTGTATGTATGTATGTATGTATGTATAAATAAATAAATAAATAAATGAAGAAAAGAGTATTTAAAAAAGAAAAGAAAACTGGAATCAGCCATTTGTAAAATGTGAATAGTATTTAACTCAAAGGGGTGTTATTAGAATTAAATGAAACAAAACACACTAAATAATAAAGTGTTACAGAAAAATTGCATTAATTTGAAAACTTTGCTTCATACCCTTAGTTGCTATATTTCCTCAATATCCCAGTTTCTTTAACTTTTTATTATTTTTTAAAGATTTATTTATGCACACAAGAGCTGAGGTGTAGGCCAGAGGTGTGGGGAGAGTGAGACGATTCACCAGAGACAGAGTGGGGAGCAGAACAGGCGGACTGACTGAAATACACTGCTGAGGAGAGCAGGGGACAAGAGAGGAGAGGTCTGCTGAACCATGGATTGAACTTGTGCTGCAGTAGCTGCCGATCCTGTAGTGACAGCAGGAATGGAATTTTTTTTTTTTAAAGATTTATTTATTTATGCATGCAAGAGACAGAGTAGGGAGCAGAACAGGCAGACTAACTGAAATATACTGCTGAAGGGAGCAGTGGGCGAGTCAGGAGAGGTCTGCTGCGCCATGTGGGTCACCTCCCTGGCCAGCCAGGGAATCGAACTCATGCTGCAGTGGCTGCGCACAACTTCATAGGTTGCATCTTAATCCCTTGCGCTACCAGGGAGGCCCCAGGAATGGAAATTAATGAGGGCTTAAATACTCTAACAGTAAATACTAGATACTTCCTAAATCACAGCATACCAAATTTAAGATATTAAGGAACACAGTTCTTTTCCATTTCAAATTAAATTAAAATATAAAGTTTAAATACTGTACTAAGAATAATGCTAATAAGTGGTATTTTAAATATGGTGGAATTTATTTCTAAGTTAGCAACATTTGCCCAGTGTCTAGAAAACACAAATTATATTTATATGCACAGATTTCATTAGCTATATCACATAGCTACTGAAAGAATGAGTAAAAATGCAAATAACATCTTATAACTATAATGAAAATATTTTGAATCTTACATACTTTCTGAAAAGGTCTTGATAACCCCTCTGGGATTCCTGGATCATACTTTGAGAAAAAGTACTCTAATCCTGAATAACTATGTTGCCATAAACAATGGTATTAAAGTTTATATGAGATAAAAAGAAACTTTTACTGTGTTACTGAAGGAATGTAAAGAAAGGGAGGAGGTTAAATTCTTATCTCTCATAGTAGAAAATCAACAGTAATATCAAATGAAAGAAAAACCCCCAAAGTCTTGAAAGTGGTACCTCTGGAGACTCAAAGTTGGGAGTTACAAAACTCTCAATTTTTACTTTTTGTCATTAAAACTATTTGTTGTGAGGCATCCTCTAAACATAACTTTGTAGAGTACGTCTTGCCTTTTTGGACTCTTTCATAATTTCTGAGATGAAATAGTGGAATTAAACTTATTGTGGTAATAATCTTACAATATATGTAAGTTAAATCATTATTATATACACTTTGTACTTACACAGCACAACATCACCTGTGTCTCAATAAAACTGGAATATGTTTGTAAGAAAAAAATTAAGGTTTACTATTACTAGTGGTAATAAGTTACTACTACTATCTAAATTATTTTATACTAGAATTTTGCTGCATTGAATCTAGCTAACTCCTGGGATATAGTTTTTAATAATTTAAAAATTCATCTGAATATATAAGTACTAACTAGGACAATTACTTACTAGATGATGAGCATGCGAATAAATAACGAGATCAGGTTAACCAAGGAAGACCTTGCATGCTACAAGATTTGAATTAGGCTTTAAAGGAAATGAGAGCAAAGACTGCTAAATTAGACGAGAGGATGTATGCAAAGGTACAAAGTCTGGAATTACCAGGGAGACTATTTCTGAAGATAGAGCAGATGCGTAGGCATCAATCAGATTTGTGAGGAATAAAATTTCCTGTTTTAAGTGGGACAGATAATAATGAGAAACAACTTTTTGGGAAAGATCTGGGATTGGCACAGTAGATGGGTCATTTTTGGCAGCAAGTATGTTAGGAATAAAGATATGGTTTTGGAAATTTCACAAGGAGATTGCTGACATCACTGTATATGATCCCCAAATAAAGAAGTGAAGGATAAGAAAATAAAGGCTTGTAGATGAATCTCCAACTGTCATTTATAGTTAGATGTTGTAAAAAGACCAGACAAAGACAAATTAGAAAAGCACCATAAAAGTCAAAAAGATTTTAAGCATTAGCTGGTATTATATAAGAAGAGCACTTTTTAATGTAATATTCTTCCTTTCATGAATGTTCAATAAGCACCGATTGACCAACAGTGCAAAAACAGAGAGAGAACAGATCAAGTATCTTTTGTTGATTCACACAGAAGCAAAGTGACCTCTGGAAAACAGAAATATACTCATTTCCCCTAAGGTAAGCAGTTTAAAGGTAAATGCTGACAATGTATGCTATCTTGCAATACAAAAGCATTCATTTAAGTAAAGTGTAGTAGCTCCAAATTAGTAGTTTCCCAAGGCTAAAGGGAAGAAAATTTATTTCAATGGTTAGTAAACAAAACATGTCAAAATACGCAATTTGGCAATTACTAGCAAATTGGCAAATTTGACAAATTATTAAGACAGTAAAATAAAATGCTGAAGTCTAATAAATCAACAAAGATGATGAACTTTGTCAAAAACAATGGAACATTTAGAAATTAGTAATAATATACACTATAAAAACAAAAGGAGTAAATCAGTCTACAATAAAGACATTTAGCCTAGATCCCTGTGACTTGCTGTTCTAGTGTGTGAATAGATGCGGTTTTCCTTAATTACTTCTGGACTTAAAATGCCATGTTTATTCTTATTATTTTCTAACTTTAGTGGTCAGGACTAAAGATTTTTCCTCATTTGTATTTGTTCAAAAATATTTTCCAATTTGTTGCGACACCAAGCTCCTTAACACAAGACATGTGTCATAAATTTATGAAGTCCATAATTTTCCTGTTAAACCTAATCTTTAATATGAAATCTTAGTTGATTTTAACACACATTTTTCATATTTTAGTATTTGACAGTGGAATGGTCTTACAATATGTATCTTACAGTTATAATTGGTAGCATTCCTTTCTCAGATGTCTTAGAGGCCTTGAACATACATGTTATCAATTTAATAAAAGTTCCTCTAGGAAAAAAAAAAGCCCTGCCATGATACAAGTTTATTAAGACATATTCTAATTTCAAAAACGTTAAAACATGAAACAGAATCAAAGAAATATTGTAATAGAGTGAAATTCTTTAAGTATACATTTGGTACTCTGTAGTTCTCAAATGTTTTTCTCCAATTAATTCAGAAGCTATCATCAAAGGTTGGCCCTAAAACGGAAATGAACTAAACACACCACAATCTATTCATTTCTTTTTACAGTGAGAAAAACCGAGATTTTTAAGAGATTGTATGATTTGTTCAAGGTCATCTAGTTATTCAGGTCTTCTAATTTCTCTATTTTTAAATTTAAAGATCTGTAGCTATTTAGCTCAAAATAATTATTCTCAGTTGATTAGATATTGTATGGTTCCACAAAAACTGCTGGCACCATCCTAAAAAGTAAAACTTTTTGAGGCAATATGGGAATTTATGGACATTAATGGGGGTCCATCCCAGGAGCTATTGGTAGATCAAAATCTTTCTACAATCCTTCCAAAATTCATGGGAAACAATTAGACAAATCTTCACTATTGAATATATGACAAACCATGTGG